TCGCTCTTCACATAATAGGGCACTTTCAAATCCCGCGTGAATCGCTCCTCCGTATACTTACTGAAACAAAAATGAGGGCAACAATCCAGCAACTACGAAAAGACTGTCACGTTGGGGTGGTGGGCTATGTTGACACGGCAGTTTATGAAACGGTTAGAGATTTGCCAGAGAGAGCATAGAGGCTGCAGTAATTGGCCAGAGAGTGCTACTTGTAATATAAGATGCTTTTTAGAGAGAGAGAGAACTTCGGAAACACACCTGGTCCGATGAAGTGAGAATGCTGGATCGCCTACCATTAGCTGAGCAATAAGACCAAGCAAAAGCACTCCGAACAGGGGTAAAAGCTGCAGAATAGATGCATACGAAGGCTGAAAGCAATATCGATTAACCAACAAAATACTAAAAAGTGTAAAGTTTGCTGAACATTCTTTAAAGATCCCATTCTGTAAAGGACAGCAAGCACTGTACGTCCCACCCGGTTTGCACCTCTCTTAATTTTATCACAAAAAATTACGCTAATGAGCTCCGTAAGAAGTGGAGATGACGATTTCTAAAAAATTCAACACTACAGAAGACTGAATAACAATAACCTGTTCTTGCTGTGTTGAATGATGCTGAAAATGATAGTGGGCTCCACGTTGACGTCTGTTTAGATGGCCTGCAGGATAGCCGCCGCCAAAAAACATATTGAAAATTTCTTCTGGAGTGAATTCCGCTAAAAAAAAAACACACACACACATATACAACAGTCGCGCTGAACTTTAGCTAACAGTATATGCTCCATCCAGACCCAACCATAAGCGACCTAACCATGCGGCGCATTTCGATGTTATGCAAAAACATATCAAACGCAACTGTGTCAGACTACCTTCCGTTCACGTGTTTGCTTCGAGTTATCAACTTGATCGCACTATTTTGACTCAGGCCGTTTTTCACCTCATCATTGCCTCATAGAAACTGAGTCTAATGCACATTTTCTACAAAATCAAATTTAACTTCCTCACGCCGTCCTCCAAGCCAATAAGCCGCACATGCACACGAAGAGAAGAATGCGTATTTTCTGTTCCACGGATGTTGCCGACAGACAGC